CTGCCTCCCTGCATATATACACCCCACCATTCAAACACACTGCCTCACTGCATATATACACCCCACCATTCAAACATACTGCCTCACTGCATATATACACCCCAACATTCAAACACACTGCCTCTCTGCATATACACACCCCAACATTCAAACACACTGCCTCCCTGCATATACACACCCCACCATTCAAACACACTGCCTCGCTGCATTTATACACCCCACCATTCAAACACACTGCCTCGCTGCATTTATACACCCCACCATTCAAACAAACTGCCTCCCTGCATATACACACCCCACCATTCAAACACACTGCCTCCCTGCATATATATACACCCCACCATTCAAACACACTGCCTCCCTGCATATATACACCCCACCATTCAAACACTGCCTCACTGCATTTATACAACCCACCATTCAAACACACTGCCTCCCTGCATATATACACCCCACCAAACACACTGCCTCCCTGGATATATATACCCCACCAAACACACTGCCTCACTGCATATATACACCCCACCATTCAAACACTGCCTCCCTGCATATGTACACCCCACCAAACACACTGCCTCCCTGCATTTATACACCCCACCATTCAAACACACTGCCTCCCTGGATATATACACCCCACCATTCAAACACACTGCCTCCCTGCATTTATACACCCCACCATTCAAACACACTGCCTCCCTGCATTTATACACCCCACCATTCAAACACACTGCCTCCCTGCATTTATACACCCATTCAAACACATTCAAACACACTGCCTCACTGCATATATACACCCCACCAAACACTGCTTCACTGCATAAAGTCAAGTCACATTACCACAAACACTCCCACATATTCACACAAATCAAACCCCACCTTCACACAAAGTCACTCTACACAATAAACCAACAGTTATAAAACTGGAAAAAAAAAAAAAAAGAATTCCAGACATTCACAAAACTGGCTTGGAAAATTTTAAAGTGGGATCCTAAGGCCATATTTTTTGGACGTGCCCTTTAATAAAACAATATTGGAATTTGATTCATAAAATAATTAACACAATTACAGATTCGGGGGCGGGCCTGACTGCAGAGCAGAGCAGAGCAGACGCATGGTGCTGCTGCTCCTGCAATCTCATGCAAAAATAATCGAATCCTGCTGAACAGAAGCAGTGACCCAACTTCTTTTGACTCTTAAGTGACTCGGGACACCGAGACCTACAGGATGACACCTCTCCCGAGGTTCTACGCTCTGGTCTCGATCATCCAGCCATTGAGGCCTACACACGAGGCGGATAAGGGAGAGACGGCCACTCTCCTGCCGTCCAAACGCACCACAAAGCACAGCTTGAGCCACCGTCCCCACCCCCTATGGACCAGCGGGGGTTATCCTGGTCCCCACCAATCTGGCACACAAAGCTACATGGCCTGCAACTGACCACCCTAGCAGGGGCCCTGAATGTGCTGAACCCTGCAATGTGGAGGATGCAAAATCTGGGCCCACGCTCACACGACCCCAACCGACCAGCCTGGATCTGATTTTCCAGAAATTCTGGGCCCGACTAGAACAACACCTCGCCAGGTCCTCCCCTGCTCACGGAGTAAAGACAGAGGTGAAGGTGAAGAGGAGAGAGAGCGGATCGATCCCGGGTACAGCATGCCCCACTACGTCTGCTAAAGCCACTGTATACCCACCCGGGCCAGAGGTCTTAAGGAGAGTCCCTCCAAAGCTTCAGCCACCACGCCGAAGCCCACCGGCCGCTGGTGGTGGCGAAACACTGGGGCCAACCGCGGCGCCCACAAAGGGAAAGACCCGGCTCCCATATACGCCCGAGTCCGTGGCAAACAGAAGCCGACACAACTTGAGGTCTGGGGCCAGGGAGAGGCCCCTCCTCCCTCACACCCAGTCAGCATTGTCCAGATCACCCATGCTCCGACCGCCACGCGACCTGCCAGGGGAATTGGCTGAAGCAGAGACCCACATGCTGGGCCCACACACGGGACCGAGCATCCTGCACGGACTGATAACCGGAAAGACCTACAATACCACAGCTGAGTATAGCCCAATATGCGGGCGGACACAGACTCTCAGATCCATGTCATAAAAGTTGCTACTTACCAATTCAGGCAACGGTTAATATCCAGTGACCCCTCTCTATACCCTTCTCGTTTCTCTCAGAAATATATCAGGCTGCTATCTAATCCCTTTGATGCTCTCATACCGGCAGTTGCCTTGAATATAACGCAGCATGTGTGCCCCTAGTCTATAGTGAGTACAGGGATCACTCCCACTACCCGTGGCTCATAGCTTATTACCTAGTATATGTTTCGTGTGAAGAGCTTAAGCTAACTCTATGATGCTCAAAATTAGCTAACTAGATATACCAGCGATGTTACCTTCAGTTATGAGACAGAATTAGCTGTGAGGCCCTCTACTGTTTACCACTCAAGCTACCCTTAAATATAAAAATTGCGCTAGATACCTCGTGTACCTCTATGTTCAACTGTCTATAATGCATTGGAGGAATGCCTTTGGGGTACCTCACAACCATCTGTTATAAGTTTATGCACCACAAAAATAAAGAATTTAAAAAAAAACCCACACAATTACAGATTCAATTATAAATCTAACCCCTGAAATTTGTTTATTTAAAAAAAACCTCCCCCAAATGTACCCAAAAACAAATCATTATATTAAAACATTAACTGCAGCCAACTCTTTAATACCCAAATATTGGAAATCTACAAATATCCCATCCATTAAAGGGACACTATAGTCACCCAGACCACTTCAGCTCAGTGAAGTGTTCTGGGTGCCAGGTCCCTCAGGTTTTAACCCTGCAGATGCAAATGTTTACATTTGTGGTTAAGTCAGCCTCTAGTGGCTGTCATCCGGACAACCACTAGAGGCGCATCTGCGACGCTGGAGGCATATTATGCTTCCATCACACAGAGCGTCCATAGGAAAGCATTGAGAAATGTTTTCCTATGGGACACTTTGAATGCCCATGCGGCACTTGCCGTGCATGCGCATTCGGCTCCGGTGACGTCAGCAGAGGGAGGAGAGGTCACCAGCGCCGAGAGAGCCCTGTGCTGGATTAAAGTAAGATGCTGAAGGGGTTTTTACCCCTTCAGCGCCACGGGCGGGAGACCCTGAGGGTGGGGGCACTATAGTGTCCGCTTTGTTTTCCTGGCACTATAGTGATCCTTTAAAGAAGTCTTAAATTTGGCATGCGAAAATATAAGGTGTGAATTGGTTTTTAGACCAAAAAAAAAAAAAAACTATAAAAACAAAATATTAATTTGCAATGGGGGCAAAGGACATAGTAAAAAAGTACAGTCTGTGGTGATGCCCCCCAGTCAACAAACATGATTTTTTACATTTATTTTTATTATACTGCATTTTTATCTATTTCTATTATCTTCTGTACATATACTTATATTAGTTTTTATATAAAAATATATATTTATCTTATCTCTTAAGTATTATGGATGTATTATTTATATTTTTATATTATTTCCCCCATATTGTAATCTATATTCAATTTTTTTTAATCATTTCTGTAATTTATGTATTTTAAAACTCAAAAATTATTTGAAAGAAAAGGTCAATTTCTTTCCACCAATTTTGTGAATAGTGGAGTCACTGAGCCAAGAAGCAGGATGCCGCCTTGAGGGAGGGGTTTAGGGTTAAGCCATTCTGGAAAGGTTTAATCCCTTTGGGTAAGAGTGCACCAGGGGCCTCCTGGCACCATAACTTAATTTAGATTACCGGTAAGTTGTTATAGTGCCTGTAGCGTTTCTTTATATAGAAAATATTTAGCTATGTAAAGGTGAAGTAAATGTCAACGTAGAAGTATGTTAACACACCCAGCATGAGCAGCAATTATTAAACCATGGCACTCTAACTTGGCTCAATTTTTTTCCATGAGATTGATTGATACGGCTGACATCTAGAATGGATCAATACCGTACCGGATCAATACCGTCGCTATCACAGGTCTAGAATAATAACGTAATGTGACAAGCAGGCCAGAAAAGGTCTACCATACAATGTAGCAAGTAGTTGACTAACTGGGCCCTCAGGAAATGTGATCTATGAGAAAATGAGGTAAACCTTCAAAATGGCACTTGCAAACCTGTGAACATAACCTCAGGCAAGATTAACAGGGGCATTTATTAGAGTGCGCCGTTATCAAAGCTAATTCAGAACAGTGATCTCTGTACCATCATCTCTAATCTCACGTGCTCTCATCATGCTCTGCCAGGCAAAGTCCGATAGTTTGTTACAACCCACAGCATACCCAGTTTGCACTTTGGGGAGAGTTACCTAGCACTACCCATTATATCTGCTGTAATGACTTGGGGTATACCAATGTCCGCAGCACAGGCATAGCATTTTATGGGATTCCATTCCTGTTGAGCATGCTATGTTACAACACTTAACATTTAAAAACGGCATTTTAATTGTCAGCTTTTAGTTTTATGCATGATGACAATAAAATTAAAAAATTTAAAGCTAGATTGCTGTATGAAATCGTCCCAATGACTACAGCAAGTTTTATGAGCAAAAGAATGTCAACCTCTCAGAGGATTCCCTTAGCCCAATCCCAAAAAAATAAAATAAAAATAATATATATAAAAATCAAGGTATTATTCAACCGCACTAAATGGCCTTTCTGAATATCAGGAGGTACAGGCAGCTAAGCAGCTCGTCACTTATGCTTGTCAACTAGACTTTTGATGGTGTACCTGCTGTTCAGACATCTTGGGAGCCAAGGTTACCCAGCACTGGCCCAGTGGTTTGAGCTGTGTTAAAGGACCACAACAGGCATCCAGCCAACTTCACATGCACATTCGGCTCCACTCGGAAGCCAAAGTCGGCGGGGGAGGAGAGGTTACCAGCGCCGAAGGAGCCTGTCGCTGGATTAAGGTAAGTGGCTCAAAGGGAAGGGGGAAGGAAGAAACACTCTCCAAGAGCAGAGAGTGCAAGAAAAATGGGTTTACTTTACTGGCACTATAGGATCCCCTTAATTCAGAAAAAACGTGCCTGTGAAAACCCTAGATAAATAAAGCATTCAGGAAACGTACAGTACAACTTCAAATCCAATATTATAAGCTGGCCCAGACTGACACTAGGGAAAACAAACATCATGGAGGCACATTAGTTAACTGGATGGGGCTCCAAGGAACACCAAGCACCTAAACCACTCTGTAAAGATCATGTCTATTCTATTCTGTCAGGCAGAAAATGACATCATGACTGGCTCCAGCTAAACACTGGAACTTCCGTGATTACACCAGGTATAACGAGCAGAGCCACACCTTGTACAACATGAACCAATTCAGGAAGTAATAGGGAGAGCACAGCAAGTGCACACAAGGTGGAATATGGGAACAGAAACTGAACAAGGAAGGAGACAGATGGCGAACTTTGCCAGATTCACCTTCTTTTCACAGACTCCAAGTCATGTATTCATTATGAATTCTACATAATGCAATTTTCACGTGAGGCCCACCAGCATAAAGAAGTGACAGCCATAATAGGCATTAATGAAATAACTACAAAGTGCATATCCAACACGTTAAAGACATGCACCCTAACGCATACCACACACGAATATACCTCCCTGAATTCACACAAAAATGTATTTACACTGCTCCTCTAACAAATGAATAACACTATATACACCCACATCGTTCCATGAAAAAGTATTCAAAAGATTTCCTTAAAGGAACACCCCAAGCACCGTGCCTCATGTGTCCTACCACTTACTTAATAACTGCAGTGTTTTCTGAAAATGTCACTTTTTTGTGCTTAGAGAGACCCTTTCATACAGTCTGAAATAGAAGTGTGCATAATTTGCATAGAGAAGCCCTCTGGCCACAAATCTGGGAAACAAATGATATTAGGGGACACCTCTTACAGGGCACCTATATATGTCGAGCATTAACACATACAAAAACAAAGAAATGAGGGTCTTGATGAAGATCCTGGGTGTGAAGACAGGAATGGTGTTTAGTGCCGTATAAGAGACAGGTAACACACTGGCCAAAGTCTGCACGACAAGAATATGTCAAGCATGTCAAACTCAAAGTCTGGCATGGGCCACATAAACAAGGTTTAAGTTTATGTGGGCCACAAAAAAAAAAAAAAATACCTTAAACTTTCATAGGTTTAAAAAGTACAGTATTTAAAAAAAACACAGCATCCCCTCTCCTAAACTAGAAAAATGGTCAGAATTGTGGCAACTGCCATTTAATGTGGATAAGTGCAAGATAATGCATCTTGGACGTAAAAACCCAAGGGCAGAGTACAGAATATTTGATAGAGTCCTAACCTCAACATATGAGGAAAGGGATTTAGGGGTGATTATTTCTGATGACTTAAAGGTAGGCAGACAATGTAATAGAGCAGCAGGAAATGCTAGCAGAATGCTTGGTTGTATAGGGAGAGGTATTAGCAGTAGAAAGAGGGAAGTGCTCATGCCATTGTACAGAACACTGGTGAGACCTCACTTGGAGTATTGTACACAGTACTGGAGACCGTATCTTCAGAAGGATATTGATACCTTAGAGAGGGTTCAGAGAAGGGCTACTAAAAACTGGTTCATGGATTGCGGGATAAAACTTACCAGGAAAGGTTAAAGGATCTTAACATGTATAGCTTGGAGAAAAGACGAGACAGGGGGGATATGATAGAAACATTTAAATATATAAAGGGAATCAACACAGTAAAGGAGGAGACTATATTTAAAAGAAGAAAAACCACAACAAGAGGTCATAGTCTTAAATTAGAGGGGCAAAGGTTTAAAAATAATATCAGGAAGTATTACTTTACTGAGAGGGTAGTGGATGCATGGAATAGCCTTCCAGCTGAAGTGGTAGAGGTTAACACAGTAAAGGAGTTTAAGCATGCGTGGGATAGGCATAAGGCTATCTAACTATAAGATAAGGCCAGGGACTAATGAAAGTATTTAGAAAATTGGGCAGACTAGATGAGCCGAATGGTTCTTATCTGCCGTCACATTCTATGTTTCTATATCCCAGTCCCCCCCCCCACCCTTCACCCTCTACCAAACCACAGCACCCTGTGCCAAATCTGATCTGACAGACACACATATACTCACATCATTTAAGTTATTGTTCCCTACCTTTGGGAGCTTGTGTGGGGATCTTCTATCTGCTCATGACTGCTCCCTCGCGAGGTTTAGTGACGCCGGAATATGACATCATATTCCAGCGCCAGGCTTCACTACAGACAGCGCGCACGAGGGAGCAGTGAGGAGCTGGAACACTGAGCTCCCTCGCTGGCCATCCTCCCCGGCTGGGTAAGTGTTAGAAGAGTAGGCACCTGTAATGTAGGGAAAGCAGGTGCCTACTCTGCTAGAACACCAGCATGTACTCGCGGCTCGCAACGATGGTCCTTGTAGGCCGCATGCGGCCCGCGAGTTTGACAAGCTTGATGTAAGTGATCTGTGCATGCAGTCAGCAGATATTTGCATGTAGTGTAACAGGAATATTTTGCAGAGTCTGTTTCTGTGTTTGTCAGCTATCTTTCAGTCACTAAATACACTAATCTTAGAGCAGGGTTGACGAAGTGGCAGACCCAAGCTGTTGAAGAAACACAAGTTAGATTGAAGAAACACAAGTTAGATTGAACACTGTGCATGAAGAAAAAAACATGACTCAGAGGTAGAGAAAAGCGGTTTATTTAAGAGTGCGGAGGTGGAAAGGGATCACGCTGTGCAGGCAGGAAGGGGAGGAGCTGCACCACTGAAGGACAAATTGGCTTAAAACCCTACAGGTTAAACAAATCTCTGCAGTGTACAGCCATAAAAGAGTCAAACCCTCGTAGTGCTATCTCAACCCCTGCCAAGGGCATGTATACAGATGGAGAATTCTCACACCAGGTGAATAAGGAACAGTGCGAGTTTGCCTTCTGCACAGAGTCGAGACATCCGGTGGCATCACTGGTATGATCACAACCACCTCCTGCCTCAAGTCATCCGCTGTGAGAGTGCCCAAAGTTACCCTGCTGGCCAGGAGGATGAGAAGCAGGGAGGGGTCAAAAACTGTCAAGCAAAACGTCTGAGTGGGAAGTAGAGTGAAAAAAGGGAGGTCAGGATGTGTCCATTCTTGGCCCTGGTGTCCATATTCAGTGACCATGCGACCTTGTGAGCAGACCCCTCTCCGCACCTAAAGACATACCAGATCAGAACATATTCAAAACGTGAAGGTAGACTTGGCTCATAAAGACTATTAAAAGACTCCTACGTACCCATGATGGGGGGCACAATGCCCTCACTCCAAACACAATAATTCTACATCGAATTTAAGGGTAGCGTGTGGAGGGATAATGCCAGGATGTCCTTTGCTTCCATAGGCGTAGTCAGAGGAGATGGTGAGAAGTGACCGCTCCCCCAAGCTCATCTGTGAACGTAACCAAACAGTCATAATTCCCATCAGTTACACTTTAAACACAAATCTAGGTCAGAATTTCTGAAAGTTACGATGCAGTGCACTGACCTCTAACCACACAGAGAACAATCAATCAACATAAAAACAAATGGTTGCAGATTGCTGGGAGAATAATGAAAAAAAGACCCCCAAAGAGTTGAACTGAAA